CAGAACTGTTGGCAGCGTATTGTGCATCACTGATAAAAACAGGGAAACTAGATGGGAAATGGTAGAGGGAAGGAAACAGGTACCTGGGACAAGGGAGGTGGGGCAAGAAACAGAATTTCAAATCCCTCTGACAAAACCTGAAGAACCCAAACATCAAAGATTAAAGGGCACCACTAATGAACAAAGGCCATAAGGCAAGCTCCCACTGGGCCCAAACCCACTAGGTAGTCACCAGAACATTTGATGGTTAACCGTGCGTCGTCGAGAAAAACAGCGAGCTTTGGCACCATGGGAATGAGGGACAGGTCAGAGATGGGAAAGGGAAGAATGTGGAACTGAAATAGGTGCCACACTTGGTTCTGACTGAGATAAACGGGAAACTAGATGGGAAATGGTAGAGTGTTGCTGGCCAGATGCCACCTGAGACTCCAAGCATTCCGAGACCATATGAAAGACAAAACGTCTTAAAAACAGAGCCATAAGCAAATCCCAGAGAAAAGAAGCAAGTAAATGGGTACAAGATAAAACAGCATCATGACCTAAAAGGTTCCAACAACAAAGATACCACATCTGTAAAGCCAGAGCCAAAGACAATAAATGAGCCAATGAGGAGGTAAGGAGGGAGAGGGTGTCCCCAGAAAACCACTCAGGATTTCTGTGAAGAGCCTCAGACAGGAAATGATTCATGGTAAGGTAACACAAAAGGGTCGTGAGGGTAAGATGGAAGCGGAAAACTTGGGCATAAGTGAGACTAACAGGAGATTCAAGCCCACCCCCAAATGGGCACAACTGAACCCAACAGTTGTTGGTCGAGATATAGACAGTTAGTCCTATGAAATGTAAGGGCCAACTGATCCAAAGCCCATGGGGAAGGAGGCATACTAACACCATTGCCCAACTAAGAGGAAAATTGGTCAGCATGAACCCAAATGTCAGGGGATGGGGGAAACACGAAATAGGGTTGGGAAGTATGTTCATGCAATAACAAAGGACAAGAGTGTAAGATATATGAGCAAGGGATAAATCATCACATACCTGAGAAATAATGTCCAGAAAAACCATTGATGGCCAAACAGAATCATCAGGGAGGATATGGGAAGGCACAGCAAAATCAGGAGGTTGAAACAGGCAATCAAAGTCCTCATCAACCTGACCAGGTTCCACAGGTTCAGGAAGAAGAGGGGCAATGTCTGGAGGTAAAGGTTGATCCATATAATGTTCAATCTTCCTGGGAATAAACGTAAACAAATCTCCCATTGGGTTGCCAGAACCTGAAGCCTGTGGTATAGTGCCTATCGACTGTGTGACAACCGAATTGGTGATGATAAATTTGGAATTCATGGTGATGTAGTCAACAAAATCGTTTGAAGTAAATAAGAAATGCAACTGCAATAAGTGTAAGAGAATTCAAACAATATAAAAAAAACTGAGCATTTTAAATTAACTCAAACCACTTCGAGAAAATATGATCTCAAACTCGAAACCAGATGAAAAAAAGAAAGAAGTCCAAGTGCAAGTTCTGCAAAACGAGAAGTGGTAGTTTGGTAGAGGCACATGGAGGGAGTCACATGCATCATGAGAGTGTACTATGATCCTATTGGTGGATAAGTGACGCATGATGATTTGCAGGAGAGTCACGTTGGAATCATTTGATTCCAATACGGAGTGCGGAAGGCTTGTGGAATGTGTAATAAAAACATTCACACATAGAGGGCAGCAATGAATGAGAATAGCAAATCTTGTGAGGGGAGGGAAGTGCCATATCGGAAGGTTGCTGCTTATGTAGATGAGAGTAAGGGTGTGGATTTGGTGTATCTGCATTTTGAAAAAGCATTTGACAAAGTTCCACAAGAATGATTAGATGTATGGAATTAGCTGGCTCATTGGATAGAAAAGTGGCTTGATGGAAGAAAGCAGATGGTTATCGTAAATAGCATTCTGTCAGACTGGATTAATGTTACATGTGGGGAACTTCAGGGCTCAGTGTTAGGATCTTCCTCTATTTGATTTATGATTTACATCAAAGACATAGATGACGTAATTTTAAATAAATTATTTACATCCACTTATAATGTCGGTCTTGGGTGTTGCTACTGCTTTATAAACAGATTTTTTGGTGAGTTGGGCAAATAAGTGTCAGATGGCTTTTAATTAAAATCAATGCAAAGTAATAATGGGGTTATCATAATTTGAATTATAAGTACAATTTTGATGAAAGTAACCTTAACAGTGTTGTGGATGAAAAGGTTCTTGGTATTTTTGGTTGATTAGTCCCTCAAGTCTTCCAAGCAGACTGCTATTACTGGTGGTAAGACAAACCGGATTTGAGGTTGTATCTATACAAATACTGAACACAAGTCTAAAATGTTATAATTTCAATGTATATGTCACTGGTTAGACTTTATTTGATATATTGTGTTCAGTCCTGGAAAGGATTCAGAGGAGGGCTACTAGATGATTCCTGGGTTGGAAAAGGTTATCATACAAGGCCAGGTTAAGATCTTTGAAAGTGTTTTCTCTTGAAAAAAGGATAAGTTAGAGAAAAAATCTGATGGAGATGTTTGAAACTGTCAAGAGAATTGATAGTGTTGATGCACCATTTTTTTTTTACACTTAATGGTGAAAATGGTAGAACTATGGGGCACAAATATCAATTTAGGCAGGGGAGGAGTTAGCTTCCCCTCAGACAATTTTATCTTCCTAACAGGATGGTTGGCATTTGGAAAAGATCACCTTTAGATATGGTGGATGCAGTAAATTTAAGGAATTTAAAGAAAGGTTTTATAAATATATGAACGATAAGGGCTGGCTTTGAGTTTTTCCTTAAATTTCATGTTTTATATTTTGTTAACACAACAATACCAAGTTCAATCCCTGCAGTGGACACAGTGCAAGTAGCTGATTGTGCAGCATTTTACTTAACAACAAACAACAAGATAAACCTCACCTGTTTTTCCTCTCGAAGTCTTTTGTGATGAAATTCATTTTGCTCCATAGATCTTTTGGCTATACTGTGGTGCCTTAAATGATAATAGTCTTTGAGTATCTGCAAGAAGAAAAACTGTATATTTCATAATATTCTTCACTAACTTCTGTTTACTATGTTTACACTAAAAATAAATTTTAATCACCTGTGTACCACAAGTCTTTTTCTAGATCATGTTTATTTCTCAGAAATGATATAACATAGAATTTCATAATTCACAAAGGTATATTTTATATATATATATAATTCAAAAGAGTATATATTTTTATATAATAACAGAAAAAGCCAATCATTCTTAATAATCAAATTTCTCAAAATCTTTCTTGGCACCTAAAATATTTCATTACATTTGAAGATGATACATCCTAAATTTATACAGTTCTTTGTTGTCAAAATGGCAATGCAATGAATGCTAAAAGATTTGAATATTTCTGTGCATTTGATGTAGTTTGGATTTATATAGCTTAGTTCAGAATTACAAGAATGAAATAGAAGGATACAAAATCATACAAGACTGAAGTTGGCTTCTGATTCACAAATTATCGTTTTGGTTTATTTTAGAAAGGTAAAATTCCACTGTGGTACCAATTCAAAACTACCTATCAAAAGATGGGTGGGAGGGATGTACAACAAAATGCACCTGTTTTTCTCCCATCCAAACATGACAAAACACCTAAAAGTGATTTGTGAAAAAGTAATTGTGGTATCTGGAGTTAATAGGCATTGGACCACTAACTTAAAAGTATATTTCTACATATGTGCCCCCTCATTTACATATAAGTGTGTTTATCTTAACCAAAAACCCAATTTCTTTAGAGAGAACCTAGAAGCATGGAAAAACACCAAAAAAGTGCAATGAATTCATGAAAATTGGATGAAGTATCTAAAAATACAGTAGGTGTCAACAAAGAAAGATCCCCTTTCCTAGATCCAGGTGCATTTATCCCTGCCCAAAATGGGATTTGTTTACAAGCAAGCTGTAAACATCACCATAAAACAAACAGTCCATTTGGAATAAATGGATGTGTTATTTTAGAGGTTAATAAGCATTGAGGAACTAATTTAAAAGTAGATTTCTACAAATAAGCACACTTCTCTTACATATAGTGGTTGGACCACTGATTCAAAAGTAGATATATACAAAATAGAATCTCTCTCATCATACAGATGTGTTTATTCTAGCCAAAAATAATTTACTTAAAAAATCAACTTGTAAACATGGTACAACATCAAAAAATGCTACAAATATTACATTTTGAATAAAAGTAGCTAGGGTATTTTAGAATTTAATGAGGATTGGGACATTAATTTAACCATAGGTTTCTTAAGAGGGTGCACCCCTCTTTTACGTCTAACTTTGATGTTTATTTTACAGAACAGACAAAAACCCAACAAGTCTGTTTTTTTTTTTGTTTACAGATAAGAATACTGTTGATATATTTTCTTTTATTAACTCACTATTTTGGTGATTCACACACACATGGGATAAACATTAAATATTTCCACTCTAATGAAATGGTACCACTTTTACACTTATGCTTCATGTGTGTATCTATTTCATAATGATGCTGCATTTCTTTTATTGTAAAGATCATTCTGTTCATGTAAAATGATCAGGTCTACAAGATGGCTTTTTTAAGGCAAAAATCTCTGGGGTGTTCACTTTCACTGATTTTGGAATTATTTCTCCCCCATAATCAAGCACAATGCTGGCAAGATAGGTTCCTCTGAGTTTGATTTTCATTTCAATAAAACAAATAGCCTTCATATCCTTATAGTGCTGTGGCCATCTTCAAAAAGGGGCCTAGAAATTAGTGGAACCCGTCCCTATAGTAGACCAAAACACAATCATATTTTTTTAGTGCATTGGTATATTAAAAGTATGAAATGGATGGCTGTAAAAACAATAACGTATTTTCACATGTATTTATGTATGGATATCCAGAGGTACTATAGGTTATAAAGAGGTACTGCAGAACCCCACATCAAAAATCATTAAAATTGTAATAACCCTGTCAGTTTTTGTGATATATTAACAAAAGTGGTACCAAAATGAAGCTTATGTAATGTCTTTCGATACTGTATGACATAATATATATATTATTCATGTGATTAATCTTGCATTGTGATGAAATATGCCATTTCTGGACACAACCTTTTTGAATTTAAACCCTAACACTACTTATAATATTTCATTGTTTCAGGTTCTCTTTGGTAGAATAAGGCACAAATATATTTTTCTGATGTATTAGTATCTCCTAAATTGAAACAAGTGGTTGTGAAATAATTAACCCATTTTGACTTATTATTAACAATATCTACAGGTACCCTTGTACAAAATTTTACTCAAAAAGCTACATCCTAAGTCACTAAATCTGCAATAATATCATCCTTTCTTGTGATATCTTAACAAAATTTATACTGATGTGAAGTTTGAAGTTTTTGTCGATACCAGTCCTCTAATAATCACCTATAGAATAGCTCTGTGTCGATACCAGTCATTTATTGGTCACCTATACAACAGCTTTGTGTCAATACTAGTCCTATAATACACACCTATACAACAGCTTTGTGTCAATACTAGTCCCGTAATACACACCTATACAATAGCTTTGTGTCAATACCAGTCCTCTAATAGTCACCTATACAATAGCTTTGTATCGATACCAGTCCTCTAATAGTCACCTATAGAATAGCTCTGTGTCGATACCAGTCATTTATTGGTCACCTATACAACAGCTTTGTGTCAATACTAGTCCCATAACACACACCTATACAATAGCTTTGTGTCGATACCAGTCATTTATTGGTCACCTATACAACAGCTTTGTGTCAATACTAGTCCTGTAATACACACCTATACAACAGCTTTGTGTCAATACTAGTCCCGTAACACACACCTATACAATAGCTTTGTGTCGATACCAGTCCTCTAATAGTCACCTATACAATAGCTTTGTATCAATACCAGTCCTCTAATAGTCACCTATACAATAGCTTTGTATCAATACCAGTCCTCTAATAGTCACCTATACAATAGCTTTGTATCGATACCAGTCCTCTAATAGTCACCTATACAATAGCTTTGTATCGATACCAGTCCTCTAATAGTCACCTATACAATAGCTTTGTATTGATACCAGTCCTCTAATAGTCACCTATACAATAGCTTTGTGTCGATACCAGTCCTCTAATAGTCACTTATCTATTTTCATACATATGATACAGTTTTTAGCATCAAACAATCTGTGTTTTCATACATATGATTGAGTTTTTAGCATCGAACAATCTGTGTTTTCATACATATGACAGTTTTTAGCATCAAACAATCTGTGTTTTCATACATATGATTGAGTTTTTAGCATCAAACAATCTGTGTTTTCATACATATGACAGTTTTTAGCATCAAACAATCTGTGTTTTCATACATATGATTGAGTTTTTAGCATCAAACAATCTGTGTTTTCATACATATGACAGTTTTTAGCATCAAACAATCTGTGTTTTCATACATATGATACAGTTTTTAGCATCAAACAATCTGTGTTTTCATACATATGATACAGTTTTTAGCATCGAACAATCTGTGTTTTCATACATATGATACAGTTTTTTAGCCTCAAACAATCTGTGCTTTTTTATCAGGTGATTCTGAATCCATCTTTCACCAGTGTATGTAAATCCCTGGTCAACCTACCCAAAAGGACAACAAATAAAAACTCCAGATTAACTAATTCACTATAATCTAGATTAAGCTAGTTTGATCAAGCCATTCCTGATTTAAATAAGCAGCAAGTAAGATGAAAGACACTCATAAAACATGCAAAAAGTCACTGAAATGAAATGACTGGTAATTAATCAGTATGTATAAATTCACTTGGCATTATCCTAATACATACACTAAAATAGTTTCTTGAGTGAGGTTTAATACATGTTATACATACAGTTATTTCTTCCACATATTGTTAGCTTTCCAAACATCTTTATCATATCACCACAATATATATGAATTATTTTGCCCCATAAAAATCCAGTCTTCCTTCAACCTTGGTATAGATATGTTGAATAGCTATTTAAAACACTAATAATAAACCTTGTATGAATTGATGTTAAATATTGTTAAATAATAAAGACCCTACTTCAAACTTGACATCAGTATAAATTTTGTTAAGATATCACAAGAAAGGATGATATTATTGCAGATTTAGTGACTTAGGATGTAGCTTTTTGAGTAAAATTTTGTACAAGGGTACCTGTAGATATGTTTAATAATAAGTCAAAATGGGTTAATTATTTCACAACCACTTGTTTCGATTTAGGAGATACTAATACATCAGAAAAATATATTTGTGCCTTGTTCTACCAAAGAGAACCTGAAACAATGAAATATTAGAAATAGTGTTAGGGTTTAAATTGAAAAAAGTTGTGTCCAGAAATGGTACCTTTGGATATCCATACATAAATACATGTGAAAATGGGTTATTTTTTTTCACAACTATATATTTCATACTTCTAATATACCAGTACATTAAAAAAAATATGGTTGTGTTTTGGTGTACTGTGGGGAGGGGTACCTCCAATTTTTAAGCCCTATGTCACAGCACCGTAAATTAGAATTCCTTTATGATCATTGCTTTGCAGAAATCCCTGAGGATTTCTAGATAACTAGTCTGATATATACTAATTTAAGACGCAATGTCAAAAATTTTAAATATTATTACAATATGATTTACACAAATGTGAATTTGTTTCAGCTTATTATTTTAAAACTTTTTTATATTGTCAATTTCAAAGTTGGAAATATCAACATTTTTATGTTTCCAAGTACAAAAATAAAAAAGGGATTTCAATGAACTGCACTCAGTTATACTCATACCAAAAGCTACTTCAAGCTAAAACCAATATACAGCAATAAAAGATAGCATCACGTTGCATTAATGAAAAATATTTTAACTGACCTTACATGTTTCCATGGCAAACCAGAGTTGCCAAAATACACAAGGTAAGTTCATATTTTTTGCTCTATGTTACATGATGTTGTTCTTTTTTACAATTTTATA